TCGCGTGGTTACCTCGTTTTTGCAACATTTATCACGGATGCTTTTATTGCTCGTAGCGTAATTTTATATAAAGTCTTCCTCGACAAATACACTATACAACACAAAAAGAATTTTTCAATTCGAACCAGTAGTTCCTGAGATTAGCGCGTTCAAACAAACAAACAGTCTTCAGCTTTATAATATTACTAGCTACTCACCCCGGCTTCGCATGGCTGTATATGTATTATACATATAAGCCTTCCTCTTGAATCACTCTATCTATTAAAAAAAAACGCTTCAAAATCCGTTCCGTAGTTTTAACTACGGACGGGACTAAAATATTAGGACTTAAGGAATTACAATAAAGAAGGAGAACTCTATTTTAATTATTTTATTTTAACGTCCATTTTTCAAAACTTATTGATTTTTGTTAGGAATTGTTATTTGGAAGTAGTTATAGAAAGAGATTTTAGGATACAAAGTTCCTAGTTAAGAACCTACTATCAAAGTTGTTATAATATCCACAGATAATCTAAATAAGTATGGCCACAGATAAGATATATACTAGGTACGAGGTTCAATTTAATAATAATAATAATAATAAAGACATTTATTCAGCATTACATCAGTATCCATATTTACAACTAACTGTTCCCGCGACTTCGTCCGCGTGGAGTTGACTTTATTTTTCTAAAATAAAAGTAGCCTAAGTTACTCCTTATTATATCAGTTACCTGGCAATAAAAGTCCCGTCAAAATCGGTCTAGGTATTTCAGAATTAGCCGGAACAAACAGACAGACAGACAAAAATTCTAAAAAAAAATGTTATGGTGTATGTACTGTATGTATTCATATGCATGTAGTAAAAAACGGTTATTTCAATATTACAAACAGACACTCCAATTTTATTTATATGTATAGATAATGTTTACTATATCACTTAAAAGCTACTTAAAAACTACATACTGGTAACGCTGAATGTAACTCCCGCTCAGCATTTATACTGTAGTATAACTGAGTTACATCACGGCGCTGATCGATCCCTCGTCCAATTTAAACAGGGATCGAAATTACGACGGCCTGATGAGGTTCGAACCTAGCGGTGCCCTTAGACTAAAGTCGTATCCGTCAGGCGGTAGTTGGCCTTCAGCTGCTCCATAAGTCCTTCCGCTAGTCTGGAGTGCCATCTGCACTCGCCCCCTATCGTCCGGTGGAGCTGTAAAGGCCAGCTGCGGCCGACAGCATTAGAGTAGTCCGAAAAAATTAATAAATATCATTATTAAGACAATTTTATCAATAGGTAGTAATAAATTTACAGATAAATGCAATCTTCATGAATGTATGTAGTAAATTTTATACATTATTTAAATAGGTATATAGTTATGTAATGAGATATAGATTATAATGTATATAATATATATATTATTCTATTCGCCGGTTCGCTTCAAACAATGCCTTTATCAGCTTCAACCGGCCTTCCCGAGGGTGGTGCATCTTCGACATCAAAATTGCCGGATCGAAATTTAATGAACCAGTTCTCTGTTAACACACCTTCTCCACACACATCGGTCAATTTCTTTCTGGCTTGAACAGCATTTTTGCCTTTTCTGTAGTAAAACAGTAAGATATGTCGAAAATGCTGCTTACTCCTCTCTATATTTAATAGGGCACCAACCAAAAACTACTGCGTAGAATTAATTGAAATTTTTCACACACAAGCCTTGCTATATGAGCTCTCAAAGCATATAAAAATTATATGGCTTAAGTGTGAAGTTGAGTGCAAAAAATACAATTAAATCCTAAGTTAGGAATAAACGAAATTACAATCCGGACAACCTAATATATACATATAATGTACATAAATTTTGAGTGAGACTGTCTACTGCTTTTTTTCTTGTGGATGATAATGGAATGGAGCACCCGCCTACGCTAACGGTTTTAACGCTGGCGGGGTACTAGTGGAGGATAAGATGAGTATGAGGTTAAGTCAGTTAGCCCATCATGGTAAATTCACCATGAATTTGTCACGCTACCAGGTGGTTCCCACATGAAGGTCAACATGATATGGTACATTGCTAGCAATGGGGTTATTAGTCCACATTACTAACAATAGAGCCCCGCCAGCGTAAACCGTTAACGCAGGCGGGTGCATCGTTCCATTATCAGCCGTAAAAAAATGGTAACTGTCCTGTTTTTTTTATAATATAATGAATAAATAATGATTTAAGCTTTGAGAAAACAAATTAAATCTAAATAATCTTTAATCAAACAAATTCAGTATAACTTCTGAATAGACTTACAATATAATATTTTACCTACCGCTCATTTCGAAAGACTCATCACAAGAAGAACAGCGGGAAACTTATGAGTTGTCCTTTTAAAAAAATATTATTCATATTTAATTAACAATATTTTTTAAAAGAGATAGAAGATTTAAAAGAGATTTTGCGTGGGCTAGTAATTTCCTATCCCTTCTTGAGTTTAATTAATAATAATAATCACCCTGGACAATTCACACGATGCCATCCAAGCTAAGTAGAGCTTGTGGTATGGCTACTAGAAGCCGATATATAACTACATAAATAGTTGACAATATCTCCGATGGGGAGGATTTCTGTATTATTATAAACACTATTAAAAAATACGGGTTGCTTGTATAGGGGTGAAAATTTAGGAAAATTTATAAAGGCAAATCATAATAGATATAAAAATTTGTGAAAAAAAAAAATAACAATATTTAGGGGTCGGTCACCCTTATCATTGATGAAATATCTATATATTGGATTCTCCGACCTATGCGATATGCACACAAAATTTTAAAAAATCGGTAAAGACATTTCCGAGACATTTCACCGCGACACGAGAAATTTATATGTATGAAACAAGCTGACCCCGCAAACGTTGTGTTGCCATATAAATTAAAATCGCTATTAAAAAATTTGTGTTCATGCTAGAAGGGTGAAAATTTATGGTTGTATGTATGTATTTTTCAATCCTAAATAATAATAAAATGAAAATAAAATATTATGTCGAATAAATAAAAAATATATATTTAGGGGTGGATATCCCTTACCACTTAAGGGTATGAAAATCGTTATAAAAATATGCATATGAAAATCGGTGCAGCTGTTTGGGAGGAGTATGGTAATTAACATTGTGACACGAGAATTTTATATATAAGATATTAATTAATATTTGTCTGTATCTAGTGCAGTAAAGTGTATAAATAAATAAAAATAAATATTTTTGGCATTGGATAGTCCATCTGTCGAGGAAGGCTTTAAGCTATATAACATTACACTACGACCAATAGGAGCGGAGCTGCAATGAAAATTACTGCAAAAGGTGGGGAAATGAAAGGCAGACGAAGTTGCGCGGGTCAGCTAGTGTATGATAATGAAATGGTGCAGCCGCTAGCTCTAACGGTATACGCTGGCGGAGCACCAGTGGATGGCCACAGGATGAACACGAAGTTACCCCAGTTAGCCCATCCCCCATATCGCTTATTAAAAAGCCTCTGACTACCCTTTTTAGGCTATCAGTCGTGAATGTATTTAATTATTATCACAAAATACCTATAATACAATTGTTTGAACTATCCGATGAACTATCCGTTTGTTCTAATGTAAATAAAACTAATATTTTGTATTGTAAAGGATTTGTATTTTCCCTCCAATGTTTCACTTAAGAATGACATATTTAAAATTCGATAGATGTTCTTTTTTTAAAAGTAATAAAAAACAATATAGAAACGAGGTTGTATACATTTCTAAATAACAATATATAAATTTATTAGTTTTTAAGTTTGTTAATGGCGTTAAACATCACTCGACCGTTAAATATCTCATTTGTAAATTTAATCGCATCCAGAATACCTACAACTCTTGTAACATTCATTTATTGTTCAAATAGGTAGGTCTATTACCTAATGATGTAAATACACACTCTCATTACATTAAATACAAATTCCATTTTATCTAAGCGATAAGTAGACACCCTAGTAGGTACCTACAATTCTAATTTACTAAACGAAACGGCCATGTCATGTCATAAAACAGGCCAAAACCGTATCTGGTTATTTAATCACTTGTCAACAAATTACACTAGTTAAGCAAAGCAAACTAAACAAAAACGGGTCATATGCATTCCGTCAATAGTTCACTAGTAGACAAATAGATCTAGGTACGTTCACTTAGCCATTCCATAACAGAATTGTGACTAGACGTACTATAGGTACCTACTCCACATCATAGCCAGTGACTTGCTCAAAAATATAAAATGAATTTTTAGATTATTGATTCTGTAAGGCGAGCCCAACCACCTATACATTTTTTATATAACTGAGCAGTAATACAAAAACGCACACAGACGTAATAAAATTTATCCACACGATAACTACACATACGGGAAGTCACGCACACAGACACACTTTTACATAGAAAAACAGCCGTTCTCCTCTCTAGCCTATCTATACTTATAGAAAAAAACTTCAAAATAGTACGGCTTCACACACTCTGAAGTAACATTAAACGATTATTCAGCGGAAATGTATGAAACACTAACTGCAATAAAGTCTAATATCGTTCGTACTAAATAAATAGCTGTCTCGTTCGCGCAACCGAACGCTTTCGAGTTTTCCCGTTCACGATCCAACTCAAAATACGCCAAAAATGACGTCGAGCCAATGTTGTTTCGAAAACAGTGTCTCGCGTTTCTTTCTACGGACACCGCGCGCTCGCTCGCTACTTATTATTTGGAATTTTCCAATCGACTGATTACTGCCCGTAGTAAGTTTTACAAACAAATTCGTATCCGTTTCGTATTTTTCGCGATTAGCGCCAAATAGGAAAGTCGTAAGTGGTCACGTCGCTAGGGTCGATTCTTGCGTAGCAACTAACTTTACCCGGCTGAGTTAAAAGGTCATGCTGAAATAGCATTTGAGTATCGCACCGAACAGTTTTCTAAACGGGTCGGTTAGTGCATAGAAAATTCTGACAGCTCGAAACCGTCACAAGAAATAATGTCGTTTTTATTACATTTTTTGATAAATTATTATTCTACTTTCGATACGGCGACGATCCAAAGGCCTTATCGATTTTCCTATTTAGCGCGCGACTGTATTTTGTACTTTTTCGAAAGGTCCACGGCGGGGCGTCTAGGCGCTTTCGAAAAACATAAAAATTTTCACAGCGGGCGAACGTACGTGGAGCGCGGTGCCGTAAATTGCTAATAATTCCGTTCATTAGACAGTAATACAGTGCCCGAATATGGGTTAGCGGTAAGGAATTCTGAGATCTTGCGACCATTGACTTCTGTGATATTTAAATTGTTTGTTTGTGAGTGTTTTCTATTTGTTTGTTTCGTAGTTGTGTTGAGTGCATTCCGCTCGTGAAAGTGTACGTTATAATTGTGTTTTTGTGAAACGGATGTCATGGGAATGTTTTTTACTGGTTGGAATCAGAACGTCTAACGCCTGGATACGGGCGGCGGAGCCGGAGGCCCGCATGAGCTGAGCACTCGATACTTGTAAGTAAAAGAGTCCGTATGCCTTTCTAGAATGACCCCACAGGTCATGAACAAATTTAACGCTGCTAACTAGGTTATCCAAATTTAGCTTGTCAAAGGGCACTTACATAAATCCGAACTTATTTGAATGTGTATCAAAACATATTTTATAACCTTGAAGCAAATTAAAAAGTTATTTATTTGATAGACAATTTTTAACATTAGACCTTGCATTTGTTCCTTTCCATAGAAGTAGGCTAAGGCATGCCCTTCAAACATCCCAACAGTTGAATGACAAGACCTGTGTCATATTTATCACTTCATTCAGTCACTTCTATACAATTTTATTTATAAAGTAATATTATTGAAATATAACATGCCAGTAATTTTCTGTTGCTAAGAATGGAAATAGAGTAAAAAAACACATAATCTTACATGATTTATCATCATAAAAAGAAGATAAGTGTTTATGGTCAATTCAACCACCCATCATCAAATCAATTAAAAAGTCAGAAGCCAAGTTTTAGTTTAATTTTTAAATTAATTTTTATTTCTTTCCTCCTAATATTATTAAATAGATACATTATATTACATATTGTTTTAAATAAATCATTAGTAAGTAACACAATAACATTTTTATAAACTAGTATACTAATTGATACTTGACTTAAAGATTTTCTATGGAGAAATTAATTTCATTTCATATCAAGGACTGCCTTTCACACTAGTAATATGTAAAAAACATCTTTTTAATGAAGTATACCTCAAAATTTTGTATTTATATTTAAAGATATATAAATATAAATGTTATATGTTTAAATATACTTAAATACAAGTTTGTTAGATAATTCTGTCTAATATTATAAATGTGAAAGTATGTATGTTTATTACCTTTTTTAAAAATCAGCTGAACAGTACCTAATAAAATTTGATGTAAAGATAGACTGTATCATGAAGGTGGAAACATGTTACAATTAATTTTAAAAAATCTGTCATAATTTTTGATAGTACCTATTTACTTATATAGGTAAAACTATCTAGACTAGACCATAATATCTCTCTGTCTACCTCATAATTGTCCTGGTGTGAAGATAGCCATGTAGATTCATATTGTAACTATCTGTGGTAGTTATATAAATAAACTTATTCCAATTTAAAATCCTACACTTTTATGTATGCCACTTAATAATTTACAGACTAATTTTAGACTGTTTGTAAAGTCAATAATTGTACATTTGTGACTGTATGTAATTATAATAAATACAATAAGCACCAGGTTATAAATAACAGCAATTTTATTAATTACAGCTTTTAAAAAGTTTTAAGTATTGTACATTTTATAGTTTTCTTTGCTTACTCTATAAGCTACTGACTGATATGCAAACAAGCTGATGTTCTAAATATAAATATTAATGGAATGGAACATCCACTAGTTGAGGATGATAAGATGAACATGAGATCAGTCCAGTTAGCCCATCGGGATAAATTCACCAGGATTATCACAAAGGTTTCACATGGCAAACATGCTGATATTCTGAATATAAATGTTAATGGATGATAATGGAATGCAGCACCCACTAATGGAGGATGATAAGATGAACATCAGATCAGGCCAGTTAGCCCGTCATGACAAATTCACCATGATTATCAAAGGCGGGGAGCCTCAACAAAATCACAAAGGGAAAGAGAACCCTTTGTGATATTCCCGGCACATTGCTAGCTATGCAGTCATAAACCACATCTTGAATTGATGCCCTGCCAGTGTAAGCTGTTAGCACATGTGGGTGGCGCACCATCCTGTTATAATCCATAGGAAAAAAACACATCTTGATGACAAATCTTAACTGGTGTCGATGTACATGAACAATACCACTGACATAATATCATGATGCCAGTAGTTTTACCTAAGTTTCCATTCGCGGACTGAAGTAACATGTGTCTGTACCCTGTAATCTCACTGCTTTATTACATTATTGCTCTTTAGAAGAGACTTCAGCAGCTAGCTCTTACAATTGTAGTGAAGTTACAGGACAAGAGATATGACATCTTAGCCTCTGGATGGCATAATACATACTAAATTTCTATTTGAAGTTCTAATTGTTTTGAAAAACATTCATTACCCTTTAGAAAAGAGTTTATACAAAACATGTACTCCAGATAAATACCCAGCTTAATACAAACTCATTTTGCCATTTATTTTTTATCATTTCATATTAAGTGTTGTTCAGTGTCCAATGAAGTATTAGAAATAAACAAACTCATGGTAACAATGTGTCTGTGTCCTCTGAGAATTGGACCCACAACTATCAGAACTAAGTTGGTGATGTAACAGCTTAACGAAGCTGTTACTTCACTGAACAGACAGTTCTATGACAGCTGTAGATAGTCATTCAGTAGATAGTCATATAGCTTCAGTGAAGTAACAGCTTTGTTAAGCTGGCTGTCATACAATGACATTTGTTGTGAACAATGGATGTACTCTGCATTAATTATATGTTGGTGTGACACTAAAAAAAAGATGTTAAGATGAATATAAGGCGAGCTCAGATCATTGCAGAAAGTTCTTCAGGAATTAACCACAACACTTTCCAGGCACTCCCGGCTTGCAGATTGACCTAACATGGTACTTTGCTAGTTATGGAATCACTAGTCTCAATTATTAGTAATATTATTAAATTAGTAATAACTGAAACTCACTAAGTAAAGAAATAATAACATAAAACACTGAAACATCAGTTAAAACAGTTTCTTATCAGTTTTTTTTAACTGAATTACCTAGGAGAAATGGATGTAATTATGACATGTCACGAAATATAAGTATAGGTCTCACTAAATAAAGGTCCCAAATGAATAAATGAGTTTGAGTTTACCTTTTCTCAACCTATAAGCAATGGTTATTACATTATTAATAATATTAAATATTGTTCTAAATAAATACACATTAACAAGGAATTGGCATGAACAGAATGAACATAGAAACAGCTAAAAACACAATATTTGTTTGATAATATTGTCAGCGCTATGAAATTTAAGTTAGATTTTTTGTACAAAAATATTATTAAATATTAAATATATTACAATTATCATATGACTTTCTAAGTAAAAAAATATTCATTAATATAAGATACTCAATCACTTATGCTATATATGTAGAATCAGAACCTAGGATATATTTTAGGAGATATTTATACAATTGAAGTCTGTTTGTAATTTCAAATTAATAATTTTTAACAAAAATATAGGTCTGTTTGTTCTTGCTAATCTCTGAAATGGGTAGACCGATTTTGACGTCACTTTCATTTGCAGATAGCTAATGTTATAAAGAAATATATAGATAACGAATATAAGATCAATATGAGGTCAGGTCAGTTAGCCCATCGTGACAAATTCACCAGGAATATATCATGGTAGTTTCCAGTGGGAACCGCGTGTTGGTTAACGTGACATAGTACTTTACTAGCAAGAGGATCAACAGTTCACATTACTAACATTCCTATCATCCTCCACTGGTGCCACGCCTGCGTATATCGTTAGCGCAGACGGGTGCACCATTCCATTATCTACCTTTAAAAACGCTTAGAATATAAGAGGAATAACCTCTTCTCTGTAACAGTGGGAATATATAAGTCTAACTAGCAACCTTTAAAATAATTTGTAATTTTTTGTCCCACATATACATTTTTTTTCTTATGGATGATAATGGAATGGTGAACTGGCCTGCGCTAACAGTTTACGCTGGTCAGGTCAGTTATGCATCATGACAAATCAGCAGGAATTTAACGAGAAGGTTTCCAGGGAGATTCGATCTGATACAGTACTTTGCTGGCAATGGGATGAACAGTTCACATTACTGACAATCCTATCATCATCCACTGGTGCCTCGTCAGCGTATACCGTTAGCGCAGACGGATGCACCACTCCATTATCTACCTTAAAAAAACATAGTGCATAAGAAGAATAACCTGTTCTCTACAGTAGAAATATATCAGTCTTACTAACTGGCAACCTTCAAAGTAATTTGTAATTTTTTGTCCCACATAATTCTATTTATAGTTGGAGTGCTTGAAAAAATTGACGTGGGCGAATTTGTCAAAATTTGTTGTAAGTGGCCAATTAGAGGTATGGCTTGACTGTTACAATTATCTTTTAGTTGTCTATACTATTATCTGGTAGTTATATCATAATGATATGTATTTAGACGTTATCGGTAGTTAACACTGACTTCTTAGCCGATGTACTAAGAGGTGAGTTGGATTTTTTTAAAGTAAACGGATTGGCAAACAGGGTACGGTTCACCTAATAATGACGCTGAATGACTTAGATTATAAGTAAAATAAAACATAATACTTATATTGTTTTATTTATTTATTTATAACTATTTATTGCACCATTAAAGAAAAATACAAAATAAAACAGAATATATATACAATACTAGCTGACCCGTGCAACTTCGCCTGCATCCCACTTACTTGACATTTATCATTATATTGCGCCCAATTTACATAATATCTTTTTAAATTATATGTTATTCTGATGTATAAGCTATATATATTAGTGTAAAGTTTCATCAAAATCCGTTCAGTAGTTTTTACGTGAAAGAATAACAAACATGCATCCACACTCACAAACTTTCGCGTTTATAATATTAATTAATAAGGAGCAGTATTAGGGTAACTGTAATGGGTTATTGAGTCGCCGGGTTTTAGTAACTTTACGAAATTCGCCATCAACTATTCTAACCCACGATCCACGATTTGTACAACGGAACGGAGATACCACTGAGTTATATTATATTAAAATTCAAATTAAAAAATCATTTATTCATTTAGGACATTTTACCCGCTTATTAACGTAAAATTTTTTATATTATTATTTTTGCCCTACCGTTCAGTTCAGTATACAGATCCAATTCTGAAGAAATTGTAAGAAACTCTCTTAGGTAAATTTCTTATTCAATTGAGTTTATAGAGACTTTGTTAGGTTTTATTACTCTGTACGCGTGGTGCGGGTGACAGTTTCAT